TATAGTATGATTAAGTTGGGGGAAATTTTGGCTATTATATCTTCAAATATCTCTTCTATTTCCTCTCCTTTGGAAACTTTGATTACACTCATATTAAGCAATTGAAGTTGTCTCACAGCTCAATGATGCTTTGCTCTTTTTTTTTCTGTATCCTTTTTTTCTGTGTCTCATTTTGGGCACTTTTATTATGTTGTCTGTAAGTTCATTAATCTCTTTTACACTATCTGATCTTCCATTAATCCAATGAACAGTTGATCCTCTGTCTCCATGAGCTCAGCATCTACAGATTCAACCAACCATGGATTGAAAATTTTTAAGAAAATTGTGTGTGCACTGAATATGTGCAGAATTTTTCCTGCTATAATTACCTAAAAAATACAGCTTAGCAATTACTTATATAGCATTTCATTATATTCAATATTATAAGTAATCTAGAGATTATTTAAAAAATATGATAGGATGTGCATAGGTTATATGCAAATATAGTGCTTTGTCATTTTATATAAAGGACTTGAGTATTAGTGAATTTTGTCATTCATGGTCCTAAAACCAACCATCCTGGGGATACTGAGGGACAACTGTGCTTTTTATTTCACAAACGGCTTTCTCCTCATTATGGAGAAATTATTTGCATGCCTAAGTTTTAAGTAGATGCCACATATTGTGAAATTTATCTTATTGAAAGCTGGACATTTTGGTATTTCTAAGAACATTCTTGAGACTTATCCTGGGATTCGGTTAAGTTCCTTGAAAAGTATTTCGTTCTTTTTTGACTTGCTTTTAAGATTTTTCAATAGGACTATAGAGTCCTCAGTCTAAATACTAATTATCTGTCACTACTGAGGAAAGATCCTTCTGGGTACTCTACCCAATATCCCACCAATCATTAGGTTTTCCAATTGGGCTGCTGGCATCAGACCTTGTGTGAAAGGTGAGGGATACAATGCCTAATTTTGAGGAATGGTTCATTCCTTGACCAGGAATATCTTCCTCATTGCTAAGCACTCAGCTGAATACTTGACAGGGACCCTCGTTCTGGAGTTCTCTCTGTGTAGCTCTCTCCTCTCCAATACTTTCCTCTGCAGGCTCCAGCTGCTTTGGTCTCCTCAACCCAGGGAAACTGACAGGCTTTACCTGCATTTACTCTCTTGGCGCTATGGCCTGGAAACTCTGACAGGTAATAATCTGGGGCAATTGCATGGCTTCAGCTCTTTTGTCTCCTGAGGATTACTGACCTTTGTTTCCTATTACTTAGAAACTTGAAAATTATTGTTTCTAAGTTTTCTTATTTCATTATGGAGGATATATTCAATCCTTGTTGCTCCATATTAGCCTAGAAGAGAAGTACTGTATCTTCCTTTAAAATCACCTAATTGATATAGTAAGGGCTTAAGCTGAGGAATGAAAGTAGAAAGAGAAGTAGTCATGGACTGGGAAAAATGTAGGGACCACTCATACAATATTCATCCAAAACTCATTTATTGAGCATGTACTATCTCAAGGCACTGAGAAAAGATGGTAGTTTGGATTGAAGATGGCAATGATAGAGATAGTGAGAAACCATTAGATATAGGACATGTGTTCAAGGTAAAGCCCATATTCTTTGCATATGTAGAGTGGGTGGGGTGTGAAAAAAGAGGAGTCAGGATAACAGTAAGGATTAGAATGAAATAACAGGGAGAATAGCATTACTCGACTGAGATGTAGGTGACTGTGGAGGGTATGGTTGGAGGGGAATATCAAGAGCTTGGTTTTGGACATACTGAGCCTGAGGAGCCTATTCATAATACAAGTGGTTTTGCCAGGGAGGCAAACTAGAGTTCACAGGAGAGATTGAGCTGGTGTTCCAAGTTTGTAAGTCATCAGCATCTACTCGAGAGAAAAGACAAGTAAGTGATCTGGATCATTCAAGAACTATGTTCAGGACACTCTAAGCTTTAGTGTTAGAAAAGAGAAGGAAGCTTCTTCAGAGAATGCTAAAATGTGGTTGATAAGTAGGATATCTAACTGGGAAAGTAGAGCTCATTATTTCAAGAAACTGTCAGATGCTGCAGAGAAACAGAATGGAAATGCAAATGACTCTCAGGATGGATTGTTTCTGTTTGTGTCTTTGAATCTTGGATTCACCCTGAAGTTAGACACCCTGCCAGACTTACATCTCTAAAGGCAGCACCCACCCAACACGTGGCATACAATTGGTGCCTTCAGCGTGGGCATGGAGCATTTGAGTGAGCAGTGAACTGGAACTTTCAGTCTTGGCTGTCTGACTCACATGTCCCTTTTCTCTCTGGCCTTATCTCTACCCATAGTCTGAATGAGTTGTCCTTAAAATGCTTCCTTGCAGGGTTTGAGCACTCCTCACTCCAGACTCACTTTTTTATAATATCCTGTGCTGTTACTCAGCTTGTGGATGAAGAAAAACGAGGCCTATGAGTACAACATGACTGAAGCTGGGCTTTTTATGACATCGGCATTATCTTCCTCTGATTTTAAAAGCCACATTCCTTGAGGATCCCACTCTTCAACTAGAATTTCCTGCCCATCTCTGTTCTCTGTGACAACCACATGGCTTTTTACCTTTCTCAGCAAGCCTGCTTTTGCCCTTATGTTTATTTGGTTTTCTCCTGTCCATCCCCAGAACACCTATTGCAAAATTTCTGGCCTCCTCTGAAGGCTTCTGCCTGGTACTTCTGAAAGTAGAAACCCCTCCTATTTCACTTACAAAGCTGGGCTTTTATAGAAGTGAATCTTTCAATGGCCTCTCACTGTATCCCTACTAGCATCTAAAATATTGAACACCTGCTTCCCTCTGGTCTTAGGATTTTTAATAACACTTTTTGTACTTCCTCTGGTACTTGAACCAACCCATTTTACTCCCACCTCTCAAAGGCTCCACCCTCAACTGGGGTTGGTCAAAAGCACAAACACTTTCATTTTCTATCAAATCTGTCCTTAAAACATTTAAACTTGCTTTATTATCTTCTTGTTGTAAATTAGTAAAAACAGCAACACAGAGAACTGTTTTCAATCTCCAATCCTCCTCCAGATCCCACTCTATCTCTAGCCTTTCTCAGTCGAGTTTCTAGAAAGAATTAGTTACATGCTCTATCTCTTGTCCCTACTCCCTACTCCGTACTATGGGACCCTATGAAATCTATCTTCTTTTACCACCAATCATTGGTGCTGTTCTTGATAAGGTCACTGGTAAGCCTTAGTCATGCTCTCATCTCAGAGAGGAAGTATCAGGCCTCCCAAGCCGCTTTTATCTCCCTGTCATAGGGGTCGGGTGGGCATTGGCCCTGTAGAAGTCTTTTTTTTTTTTCCTGAAACTCCTTTCCCTGGGAACTTTTTCCTTGTGTATCCCATATCTCTTGGCCTGCCCTCCATTTCCTCCATGCAGTCAGCTGGTTGGGCTATATGCCATCGTTGCAGCTCCTCAGAAGGCTTTCGTCAGCCCTCTTCTCTGGTTTCATGATATGGAGGAGTAGGCTTATCCCCTTGACAGCTTTAACTCCCTCATAAACCGTGAGGGTATCCATGGACCCCATTTAGTCCAGGGAGTGCTGAGCCAAACAGAGTCTCCTTTATCAGACCCAGGCAGCTACAGTGACTGCTAGAGACCAGGTCAAGGCCTTGTAAATAGAAGGCAATAGTGAGAGAGATGCTTGACACTTTGCAGGGCACAAACAACTCAGGAAAGAGGTTGCTTGGATGTGAGGCAGTAAGTAAAGAGCTGTTCTTGACCTGTAGATTTCTGACTTGAGTGACTGGGAAGAGGGTAGGCCCCTTTATAACATGGGTAAATTGGAAGAGAAGCTGACTTATAGGTGAAGGTGTCAAGTTCAGTTTTACCTATGTTGGGTTTGAGGGTTTGAGTTGTCTCAAAGGAGATGTCCAGCAAGCAGCAGGAGATATGTGTTGGGAGCCTGGAAGGGATTCCTGGCCTGGAAACTTGATCAGGCACTTGAAGCCCTAGGACTAGACAAGATTTATTGAGGAGTTGAAAATCAATGGGCTGTCAGTTAGGCAAGGCAGAAGACAGCCAAGCAGCCAGGGGAACGGATGTCCTATTTCTGGCAGAGAGAGCACAAGATCAAGGAAGAGGAATTTGTTTTGGTGACAGCAGCATAGAAGGTGATGTACCCCAGAGATGGCCTGGCCCTGTGTTCCAGCTCCTCTTGAACTGAAAACTTGGACTTTAAAATCACCTTTTCCAGGAGGCCAGCCCTGAAACTGTTCAGTGTAAGTGGCCCTGCCTTTGTTTGCATTGCCTGGAACTTTCTGTCTCCACGGTCTACTGCCTCCAAGGTCCAAACAGGGACGTGCAGAGGCTGGTTTGTTTCCCTCAGGTGCCCTCATTAGCATGCTGCTGCCAGAGTCCCACAGAGAGCACCAGGCGAGCATCTCTGAGGCTGCTTGACGTGCCTACCATTGCCATGGCGACAGCTTCAGAAGCTGGAACAAGTAGCTGGGGGTGGGGAATGGTGGAGTCCTGGAAGAGCTTTGGGGCTGTGAATCTAGTAGTAGCTGCCTTGGTAAATCTGGGGGATGTGATAACCATTCCTGTTCACATCTGGTGTGGCACACTGAAGAGCCCCAGCATGGGACAGCTGTTCTGAGGATCTTATATTCCAGCCTCCCTGACTCTATGACAAGACATACTGTGCTCAAGTCACCAGTGTAGGAGCAAACCTCGATACTCCTAAGTCCTGCTGTGGCAGTATGGAGCAGTGGGACTCTGCATTGCCTCAGTGCCAGGCTCCAAGTGTCAAGAAAAGGACTATACTCCTCCACACGATATGTTATTTAAAATGAAAACAGTGCTCAACTACAGAATACGGTTTTGTTTCCTTTGCCATAGTGACTTTACTAACACAGGAATTATCAAAGCCAGCTGGGCCCTGGTTCTATTCTCACCCTGCTTGCCTATAGCTCTCCTGCTCCATATGGGTACGAGAATCCTCTGTGACCTCCCTTGGTCATATCCCTGGCAGGTAAGAGCCCTGGTTGTACATGGAGAATGACTGAAAAATCAAATGGTGTGAAGAGTGCTACAGCCAATAACCATCATGAACCCCCTGCCATCAAGGCCAATGGCAAAGATGACTGCAGGACCAGCAGCAGGTGAGTCTGCTGAGGCTGGGTGATTTCACAGATGGTCCAGAGGTTGCTACTCCCCATCATGCCTGCACCATTGTTGTAGAGCAAGCTATCTTTGGCTTTAGGATTCCTTTTCAAGGGAATATAAGAGTTCCAGGCATGTCCTAGGAGGCAAGACAAGTCACACACCCAGAGAACCCTGGGTCAACTCTGTCGCTTTCTCTACAGGCCACAGTCTGCGGCTGATGATGATACCTCCTCTGAATTGCAGAGGCTGGCGGAGATGGACACCCCACGACGGGGAAGGGGTGGCTTCCGAAGGTGATTCCCCCCCACCCTAACCTGCTGTTCCCCCTTTTGTCCATGGGGCTTGTCAGGGTGACTACAATGGCCCTCCTTCTCTTAACTCCTCTAATCCTTCTATCAGACACTAGAGACCCGAGCAACACCAAAGCTCCTGTGAGACAAGATGGGAGAGGCCAGAGGAAGCCTCCCTTCATACTTCACAGTCTAAACTTTGAGGGGAGGTATTTCTCACTGCTGAGGGGCCTCGGTAGAGGGCCCTGAGGTCACTACCCCAGACTAGTAGGCTCTATAAGGAAATCAGGAAGCCCGAGGCAACCTCCATCCTGACCTGTCCTGACATTAACACAACCTCCATTTTGCATTGAAGACCTGCTTTTTGTTCTGCACAATCAAATGAGATGGCACCTTCTATTGGAAATCTTCCTAGGCACCCATCCCCACAGGATGTATTTGAATCATGCCTGAGTCCCAGACCCTTCCCTCAATGCTGGCCTATGTCCCAGTTCTTAGCACACAGGAAATCATGGCCTGGTCTGTTTCCAGGTTTCCCTCTTCATCTCCCATGTCCCCCCGATTTTCCCCTTGCTGAAACAGTGAGCTCTCAGGCTCATGCTCTCTCTCCCTCACCTCTAGGATCGTCCGCCTGGTGGGGGTCATCAGAGATTGGGCCAACAGGAATTTCAGGGAGGAGGAAGCGAGGCCTGATTCATTCCTCGAGCGCTTCCGTGGGCCTGAACTCCAGACCGTGACGACACAGCAGGGGGATGGCAAAGGCGACAAAGACGGCGAGGGAAAGGGCACCAAGTACAACTGTCCAGCCTGTGGGGCTCAAAGGGCTCCCAAGCACACAATTGCAGAACTCAGTGTGGCTTCTAATGCCACTGCCAGGGGCAGACCAGGGACTATGTCAAGCCCTGTCATAACAGGGAAAGGGATGGACAGAAATGACCTGCTATGCTTTTAACTCCAGAATATTTCTGTTGTCCCTACCTACAGCCTCTTCAATAGCCCGTGGTCTATTTGCTATGGGAACATCTACTGTCTTTTTTCACCTTAGCTGACCTGTCAGATGTCCTCTTGCTGCTCATAAAGTGAATGTGGGCAGGGAGGGGTTTCAGCCAGGGGCATGCCACTTCCAGCCTCACTTCCAGCAGTTGGTAAATGCTGAGGAGGATGCAATCAGAGAGCGCTGCGGAGGGCAGGCCCACTCCAGCTCTACTCTGGGCAAGGAAGTGTGTATTGGAAGAGACCATGTAGGAACCTGATGGGGAAGGCTCTGATGGCTGAGCAGGAGAAAGTGACAGGGTGGAGAAGGCAGAGATGGAGGGTCTACTCTTTGAGGAAGGAGTAGGCCACTGTGGATGTCTGGCCAAGCTAACATTCCCCACCTCTGGTCAGTGAAGGAAAAGGGCTCTTGCCAAAATATGGCATAGCATCTGGAAAAGTGATTTGGAGGCTAGAGGCTGGGGAGCAAAAAGAAAGAGTAGGGTGGGCAAGAAGCGTGTAGTTCTCACTTGCCTGGAGTTTGTCTCTTTTGCTGGGAGGGATATAGGAACAGTGGGATAAGCTTGCATTACCAACCTGTGGTTATCCCTCCCCAGACCCTGATGCTCTTCTCTACCCAAAACTCTGCCCCTTGATGTGCCTTCTGGGCAAGGGGCTTCCAGAGAGCTTCAGAGCCAATGGGCCACCCTACATCCAGAAAGGGGAGTGTCTCACACCTGTCAGATGTATGGTACCAGGTTTTGGGTCCCTGAAAAATGGGGCCCCAAGCCAATTTACCCCTCATCCACATATTCCCTTAAGCAGTGATTCTTGGGGGTCCCTAAGCTTCCAGAACATGTAGTGCTGTCTCCTTGGGGGAGCTGGTCCTCAAGCCTGGCCTTTGTTTGTTTCCTTAGAAAGAAATTTGAACTATTTGTCTTGGACCCAGCTGGGGACTGGTATTACCGCTGGCTCTTTGTCATTGCCATGCCTGTCCTGTACAACTGGTGCCTGCTGGTGGCCAGGTGAGTAGGGAGGGGTCTGGAAGAGGGTAGCCAAAAGTAGAGCAATTCATAGGCCCTGGGATTGAGAGCACACCAGTCCCAGCCAGTCCCAGCGTAAGACGGTGTTCACACCAAGCCAATCTTCCTTCCAGATTCTCTGGCTGCCAAAAACACCTCTATCTACCTTGATAGCCCATCTTCCCTTCAGAGGGAGTCTTAAAGGTGTTAGCCCCACTTTCTTCTCTTCCTGGGACACCTGCAGCAGCCATATCTATTTCTTGTATCTTCCACACTTGTAACTAATGTGATTCTTAGAAACGGGGATTTGGTGATACTACTCCCTCCTCAAAAAACATTTCAATTCCCTATTGCCCACAGGACAAAGTTCAAGCCCTAAGAATGGCCTTCAAAGCCTTTTGAATGTGGCCTGGCAGCATTCCTCACTCCTTTCTGCTCCCACTTCAGTCATTCAGAAAGGGTTTGACTGAGCACTTATTGGGTGCCATGCTCTGGGCTCAATGATGGGGATAATATGGAGAGCAAGACAGGCATGGTATCTCTCCCTTGGAACTCTTAGGCTACTGGAGGACAGAAATTGCCAATATGAAACAAAAGAAGTGACCAAGATGATTCCAGGAACTGATGGCAGAAAGTTGCTAGAGATCTAACAGTAAGGGTGAGCCTCTCTGGGAAGGTGAGACTATAGCTGAGACCTCATTAGTGGGAGGCAATCAGCTGTTTAGATTCTATTCTTGGCAGAGAGAACATTATGGGCAGAAGGAATAAGTGCAAAGCGTTGGGATGGCCTAGTGTGGATGAAAGCCATGACAATGGCAGGCACTGGTGGTTCTGCAGCCTTGTGAAAAAGAGGCTGGAATTTGATTCTAAATGTTACCATTCCTAGTACACTCTTGGGATCACCATCCTGGATTCTATCCCCTAATTTTACCTATCCCCAGGCCCTTTCCTAGGCCTGGCCCCATCCATAATTTACCCTACAGAGCTCCTGCAGCTTCCAACTTTTCTCCAATCATACTTCTTCTACCCTAACCCTAGCTCACTTGGGCTTACCCATACTTGGCTGGCCAGTGTTCTGTGTTGGGTGCTCAGTAGGTGTATGTTGAAGTGATGAAGATGGAATCTATTCAACTGTGTGCTGTAATTTGCTCTTCCAATGACATATTCATTCATTCCACTGACACCACTCAACTGACACTTGAATTCCGGTGCCCCAGGCTAGGCATAGGACTGGCAGTGATGATGGAGGAAGTCTCTGCCTCCTGAAGCTCACAGTCTAATGTGTGAGGTAGGCAATTAATGGTCAGTAGTGATGCACACACAGCGATATCTACATAATGATAAGGATTGGGGTAGAAGTCACTTGCCAGTGTCTCCTTGGCACCAGGCTGACTGTGACTTATCAGTGCCCCTTGTGGCCCTCTCAAGCCTTGAATAAATAGACATTCAGCTTGGGGCTTCCAGGAGACCTCAACTGCCTCTGAGGGTGAAGCCAGCCTTGTTCTTTCACAGAGCCTGCTTCAGTGACCTACAGAGAGGTTACTTCCTGGTGTGGCTGGTACTGGACTACTTCTCAGATCTGGTTTACATTGCAGACCTTTTCATCCGATTACGCACAGGTGAGTAAGCATCTGGGAAGCACAGGTGGCAGTATGACACCTAAGTCCAAAGGCCTGAGTCCAAATTTTGAAGAAATCTACTAGACATGGTGTTGGACTCAAATGCTTGGCTGGAACCCTGGTTGGTGATTGATCGGGGGTGCTCTCTTGGGTCTTTCTGGACAGCCTACCATGTGAGCTATATCTCTCCTTGGGATGAAGGGATAAATGACTAGTTTGCTTATCATTATCCTATAAGGAGGAACAGATCTGAGGGAAGAGGTGACATACTGGCTTGTACGTCTGTTAGGTTTCCTAGAGCAGGGGCTGCTGGTCAAAGATACCAAGAAACTGCGAGACAACTACATCCACACCCTGCAATTCAAGCTGGATGTGGCTTCCATCATCCCCACAGACCTCATCTATTTTGCTGTGGGCATCCATAGTCCTGAGGTGCGCTTCAACCGCCTACTGCACTTTGCCCGTATGTTTGAGTTCTTTGATCGCACTGAGACTCGCACCAGCTACCCCAACATCTTTCGTATCAGCAACCTGGTGCTCTACATTTTGGTCATCATCCACTGGAATGCATGCATCTACTATGCCATCTCCAAGTCCATTGGCTTTGGGGTTGACACCTGGGTCTATCCCAATATCACTGACCCTGAATATGGCTACCTGGCTAGGGAATACATCTACTGTCTTTACTGGTCTACACTGACCCTCACCACCATTGGGGAGACACCTCCCCCTGTAAAGGATGAGGAGTACTTATTTGTCATCTTTGACTTCCTGATTGGTGTCCTCATCTTCGCCACCATCGTGGGAAATGTGGGCTCCATGATCTCCAACATGAATGCCACCAGGGCAGAGTTCCAGGCCAAGATTGATGCTGTCAAACACTACATGCAGTTCCGCAAGGTCAGCAAGGAGATGGAAGCCAAGGTCATTAAGTGGTTTGACTACCTGTGGACCAATAAGAAGTCAGTGGATGAGCGGGAAGTTCTCAAGAATCTGCCAGCTAAGCTCAGGGCTGAGATAGCCATCAATGTCCACCTTTCCACACTCAAGAAAGTGCGCATCTTCCAGGATTGTGAAGCTGGCCTGCTGGTAGAGCTGGTACTGAAGCTTCGCCCTCAGGTCTTCAGCCCCGGGGATTACATTTGCCGTAAGGGGGATATTGGCAAGGAGATGTACATCATCAAGGAGGGGAAGTTAGCGGTGGTGGCTGATGATGGTGTGACTCAGTATGCTCTACTATCTGCTGGGAGCTGCTTTGGAGAGATCAGTATCCTTAACATTAAGGGCAGCAAAATGGGCAATCGGCGCACGGCCAATATCCGCAGCCTGGGCTACTCAGATCTCTTCTGTTTGTCCAAGGATGATCTCATGGAAGCTGTGACTGAGTACCCTGACGCCAAGAAGGTTTTGGAGGAGAGAGGTCGGGAGATCCTGATGAAGGAGGGGCTGCTGGATGAGAATGAGGTGGCAGCCAGCATGGAGGTGGATGTGCAGGAAAAGCTAGAGCAACTGGAGACCAACATGGAGACCTTGTATACGCGCTTTGCCCGCCTGCTGGCTGAGTACACAGGGGCCCAGCAGAAGCTCAAGCAGCGCATCACAGTTCTGGAGACCAAGATGAAACAAAATGAGGAGGATTACCTGTCAGATGGCGTGACCAGCCCAGAGCCAGCTACTGCTGAGGAGCCATGAGCGTGCGAGCCCAATGGCCTCTGCAGCCTTCCTTGCCTTGACCCCAGGAGGTAGAAGAACTGTCTAGATTTCCAGATTCATATGCATTACATTTCTTGCCCTCTGAATTCTCCCCAAAGCCTCTTCAAAGCTCATGATTTTGGTCTAAACATCCAGGAGTACCCCTCTGAATGTAGCTAACAGTCAAGCTTGTGGACAGTAGAGACCATGTTGGCTGCATTTCCAGGAGCTTCAGCCTGCCCAAGTCTGAGGAATGAAGAGAGCAGCAGCTGAACTGTCCTTTAGGAGTCTGTCCTAGGACTGGAGGTGTGGACAATAATCTGCTCTGAAGAAGCCCATCCAAAGAATGGCATGCTCTCTGCTGCTCTCTTACCCCTCTCTAGCTCGTTTGTATGTAGCCACTCTGCTCTTTTGATTAGCCTGTCTCTCTGCCAGCCAAGAGTGGCATCTCTGAAGTCCTCTCTGGACCAGGAGATGATGATGCTTCTGGTTTCTGGCCCATTCCAGGAAAGGGAGTGAGGAGTGAGGCAACTGACAATCATCCAGTGAGCAATGCCACCTGGAGAAGGAGGTGGCTGGCAGCTCTAGTCATCACCCCTCTATGGAGAGCATTTCAAAAGAAGACTTGAAGGCTGGTGGTGGGAGGGATACTCTAGTTCATATGTGCTTTAGCAGCACTTAAAGTTAATAAATTCCTTTCAACTATTTGTGGTTATTGCTCAGCTCTTTTCTCCACATTCTTTTTCTGTTCTTCCCTTTTATTCACATTTCTTTGCTGCTGTCCAGACTCCTTCTGCCTGGCATGCCCACTGAAATCCTCCCCTGCCTGCAACCCCTACTTGTCTTTTAGGACTCAAGCTGAGTACCAGCTCTCTGGAGAACCCCCTTGCCTGTACCCACTCCCCTGCCAGCCTCTGTGATTGGTTTTAATGGATGTGGTTTCCCCTCCAGACTATGGGCCCTTTGAGGGCAAGGCCAAGACAGTCTCCCTCAATGCTGTCTGCAACCTTGATGATGTGCCTGGCATAGAATAGAGGTTCTGAGATGTTTATTCACTGGAGTAGTGAGCAAACAGAGTGAGTGGGAATGAACGAATGAGCACAACTAACCCAAACTACTCTGCTTCCATCTGCCAGCATCTGTATTTTGAGAGAAACATGGTTTTATCTGGGGAGCTGGGGAGGATCTTCTGGAGAAGCAGGTATTTTATCTGGTATTACTAGATTTCAGCAGTCTGAGGGACAAATACTGATCAGTGGGCAAGAAGATCTAGCTGTGGACTCTCATGCTTTCATGTCCATACATAACATTCACTCCTTCATTTATTGTGATAAAATGCACATAACTCTAACCATCTTGATGACTTTTATATGTATAATTCAATAGTGACAAGTAGATTCACATTGTCATGAAATCAATCTCCAAAACTCTTTCAACTTGCAAACTAAAACTTTGTACCCATTAAATAACTCCTTTCTCCTCCCTGTCCCAGCTCCTGGTATTCACCATTCTACTATCTATTAATTTAATCACTCTAGTAACCTCATATATGTGCAATCATAGAGTATTTGTCCTTGGTGTCTGGCCTATTTCAATTAGCATAAGGTCTTCAAGATTCATCTATGTTGTAATGTATCTCAGAATCTCCTTCCTTTTTTAAAAGTGAATATTATTTCACTGTACAAATATGTCATTTGTTTATTCATTCACATGTTGATGATCACCTGGGTTGTTTTCACCCTTTGGCTATTTGAATACTCTTGCTGTGAACATGGGTGTACAAATATTTCTTTGAGACCCCATTTTTACTTTTTTTGTATATTAACCCAGAAGTGTAGTTACTGGATCATATGATAATTTTATTAATAATTTTTTGAGGAACTTCCATGCCATTTTCCACAGTGGTTGCACCATTTTACATTCTCATCAACAGCATATGCTTTCTTCCAATTTCTCCATATCTTCACCAACATTTCTTATTTTCTTTTTCTGGACAGTAGTCCTCATAATCTGTACAAGACTGTCTTAATTGTGGTTTTGAGTGGAATTTCTCTAATGAGTTGTGATTTTTGAGAGTATTTCACATGCTTGGTCATTTGTATGTTTTCTTTGAAGAAATGTCTATTCAAGTTCTTTGGCCATTTTTAATTGAGTTGTCAAGTTGTAGGAGTTCTTAATACATTATAGATATTAACCTTTTATCAGATAAGATTTGAAAATATTCCCCCTTTCTATTGGCTGTCTTTCACTCTGTTGATTGTGTTCTTTTTTAAATATTTATTATTTTAGTTTTGGGTAGACACAACATCTTTGTTGGTATGTGGTGCTGAGGATCGAACCCGGGCCGCACGCATGCCAGGCGAGTGTGCTACCGCTTGAGCCACATCCCCAGCCCCTTGATTGTGTTCTTTGATGCATAGAAATTTCTAATTTTGTTGCAGCCCAATTTGTCTAGTTTTTTTTCTTGTTTCTTGGGCTTTTGGTGTCACTACTCATTTTTATGTGAATTAATTCTTCTAGTCAGACTTTGAAATCTAACATAATTTCTTGGCTTCTTTCCTAGCTTACAATAATAAGTCTTACCAGGGGAAACCTCACCTGGAAGGATCTGTAACATTACCCAGGTCCAGGTCCTGATACCTGAGGGTGGCAACAACAGGAAAATGGTATTTATGATGGGACAGTGCTGTGTGATACCCTTTGGGTATTGGGATGGAAGAAAAGACTCCTAAGCCCCTCCACCTCAAGAGAGGCACAGCCAATAGAAAAAAATCCTTGGAGACCCAGCCAGCTGCTTGCCAAGGTACTTGTTGCTAGGGTTCACTAAGAAGCTCAGTTTTCACCAATTGTTGGAACCTGGACAAGATGCTATTTTTGCAGGAATAGGATAGCACTAGGGCCAGAAAATTGAAAACGTTTGCCTTAGTTTTAGCAAGAAATCTGTAATATTTCTCCCTGGAGCCTGGTTCAGCTGCAGCCCAGTCCCAATAGGTGTTCACCTCCAGCCCACATCATGGAGTGGATATTGAATCTTGAATCTGGTCTTTGCTGGTATCCCTATAGCAAAGCAGGTGGCCCCTCTGGGTCACATGGGGACCCCACTGGTTCAATACATGTACTATAGGGTTTGGCTCTCCCCCCCCCCCCAAGATTCCCTTTCCCCAGCATTGCTGGGCACAATCTCCCACAACTTTTTGTTGTACCTTTTTTTTTTTTTGTCTTTTTTTTTTGGAACTGGGGGGTCGAACCCAGTGTTGTACCTTGAATGTCCGTTTTCTCTTAAGTTTGTGTGAGAGAGTCTGTGTTTTTTTTTTTTTTTTTTTTTTTTTTGTGTGTGTGTGTGGTGTGCGTGGCTGCATGCCTGAGTGTGGTGTTTGTTCATCTGTGTGAACATGATGTGGTTGTATATGTGAGCACCTGTGCATCAGCCTAGACAGTGTCTGTTTCTGACCAACCCCCACCCACCCCCTCCCTGTTGTTCTCTCTGCAAGAGCATGACTCTCTCCTGTCTGTGGCTGGCCGACGCCCCCGCCTCTCTCCTGTAACTGGCTGTAATATAAGAAGTGAAGTACATTTTCCATTATGTGCTGTATTTATTCAGCACAGCCTGATGTTCTCTGCTCTTAATTAAAAAAAAATGTTAAAATTGGAATGTTTTTTTATTTTCCTCTGAAAACACCCACCAAAGGTAAATTGCTCTATTTGTATATGGTCATCAAATTGCTTTTCTCTGCATTTGTAACCTTCTGTACAAAACAAAAGCCCTGGTTCCCGCCCACCACACCCCCATCCCAGCATAGCTTGAGTCCAAGCCTTAGCAATATTTACATATTCTTTGATCTGGAGCTTAAAGCTAGTCTGACCACTCCCTCCCTCCGAGGGAGACTAAGGCATGTATACCCCTCCCCCCTCCATATCCTGGAAACAAGTCCTTAAGGCACAAACAAGAAGGAACCCAGCCACCAGAGGGCGCATGGACCTCAGAAAAGTGGGTAGGGTGGATTCTCCTTTGTGAACCGCCCACCACCCTTCAAGCAGTGGACAGAGCAGAGTCTGTGGGGGCGGTTAGGTGGCTGTTCCACAGGGGTTTATAGAACTGTTGGACCAGTCTCTCTTCTACAATGCACCACTGTAGTTCCTTCGAATTTCCTCAGATTTTCCTGAGTTTGAAGGCCAAATGCCCAGTTGGACCCCGTGCATGCTAGGTACACAGACCCTGCTGGAGGATGGGGAAGCAGAAAATGCCAGAATTGAATTTAAAGGGGACCTGAACACTATGACTGTGTCAGTACTTATTTTAACATATATTTAGATAATAAATACTAGTAGTTCTCAAAACTCTTGATTGGTATGGATAGTATTGCCTAGCATTAAGCTTAAGAAAAAAAAAAGTCAACCTATTTAAGATTGATTTAAAGAAAATGATGATGTAAATAATTGTTCCAATGGTGCATGAAAGTAGCACCCAGATGGTAGTGTGTTTCCAAATGTCTATTCCACACCACAGTGGTATTTCCAACTTAACATGAGCCTAACTCAACTCTTAATTACTCCTCTCCCCAACATCTTCATGTTGGTAATGGCACAAAATTCCTAGTTACTCAGGCCAAAATCACAGAAGCCTCTTCCCTTTATCTGTCATATCCAATCAGTGAGAAAATATCATATGCTTAACTTTCAAAGTGGGGTCAGAATCCATGGATATCTCCCACCGCCACTGGCCCTGCTGTGGCCCAGGCCACCACTGACTCTTTCCTTGAACAGCTACAGAGTGATAGCCTGGCTCCGGTCTCTGTTCTCGTTTGCAAATCATTCTCCACTTGGCCACCAGAGTGTTGAAAACACAAGAATCATATTCCATCCCTCCTCAGCTTAAAAACTTCTGGTGTTTTTCTATTGTTCTTATGCTAAAATTCAAACTCCTGCCTGTGGTCCCCAGGTCTTGCTCAATGGCAATGGCTTTCCCCTTCACCATGCTTTTCTCCAGCTCCCTTTGATTTCTTGCATACACAGATTTTTCTCTTGTCTTGGCAGCCTCACAGTTGTTGTCCTCTCTATCTTGCTGTGTCTGGCTTCTGGTCTTCAGAACATCCTCTTCATGATATGCTATCTCATCTCCCATTTTGATTCCCCTCATAAGTACTGATCACCCTCCCTAGTCTCAAAG